TTATTCCCTAAACAGCCTTCAAATTTGTCCAACTTTCTATATCTCCAAGACTCTGGCCCAAAGTTCTGATATTTTTCACCTAGATTATTACAATAAATGCCTAACTAATCTACCTGCAATCACCCTTTACCTCTCTGCCCCCAAGACACACTATAGCCAAAACAGAATGAACTTTCCCAAATGCAAATCTGGTCATGTTCTTCCTGCTACCAATAGTTTCTTATGACTCTTGGGTTAAACACAGGATTCCTTACCTGGCACACAGGGCCCTGAACAGCCCCTACCTACCTCTTCAAACTTGCCGTATATCAACTTTCTCCTTCTAGTTCAACTAATATCATTCATTTCCTCTATATTTCTTTCTTCATTAAGGTATTCCATACTATTTTAACTTCATTAAGCTCTGTTCTCACTGAGTTTAATTCAGGCATCACATCCCCAAAGAATTCTCCATTAACCTGCTCTAGTTCTACCCAAATTATTAGGACAAGTCCTGTTGTTTGCCCTCACAGAACCACACTTCTTATCTCTCTTTCACAGCACTTAGACAAAAGGAAGAGATTTATGATCCTGTAGACATTAGGGCTTCAAGTGAGGGAACAAAACCAGAGTTATATTTATTTAGTAATCAACTTCTAAGATTCAAGCCAACATTTCTAAACCATAGAGAAAAGTATACATAAAAATATTATACTTCAGTGTTCTCAAAAGAGCCAAGATTTATGCAATAAATATCAGATGTTCTCCAGAAAAATAGACAATCTGCTGAGTATGTAATTTAAGACCTGGAAAGATATTAGCAGTTGTTCCCACTTAACCCCTTTAAGATACAGATAAGAAAAATGAGTCTCCAAAGTGATTCTCAGAGGTCTCACAAATAGCTAATGATAGAGAATTAAGTGGAATTGGTCACAAATATCTGTTGAACACTATTATGTGTAACAGCTTTCCTATATCCAAGTCCTCTTTTCATTTCATGTTATTTCTGTTTAACCATTTACAGAAACAGAGCAATTAAAGTTTATTTTAGTTTGTCGTATAACAAAAGACTGCATCCTACCTTAAGAGGATGATATGGCACTAACAAAACATTATTATAAGCCTTTAGACAAAGGGGTGTTCTATTAACATTACATCACAGTACAGGCTTAATTCTTTGTGCATGAGTTCTTCATATTTTCTTATTATACCCCTTTTTCTACATGAAGTCCTAAAAAGGATCCTTAAAAAAGAAGCCCCTTCTTCCTTTCATTTAAAGAGAAGTGAGTGTATCCTACTAACTTTCAGCTAAATTCAAGCAAGGTTTGTTAAGGTTCTCAGTTACCAACTGCATTTCTCCATCTCCATACTAACCCTGGATTAGAGCCATAACTCCCTTTTTCAGGAATGCTGGGCTATTCTGTTGCTACATGGCCTCTTGCTTACGCTAGTCCACTAATTAGCTCTCTGGCCAGCCCTTACTTCTTGGTTCCTTTCGTAGAAAGGCAAGCTGATGGCCATCTCTTACCACACAACATTCACTTAAAAACACTTGAGCTACAAGGGACATTGGAAACCATTTAATACAACATCCCAATCCATGCAGGAATACTTTCTGAAACATCTTAAACAGAAGAGAGATTTAATTTATACTTATGCTTAAATGCATCCAGTAACTAATTTGTCACAATCTCACTTCTGTGAATTCTCTTTCAAGTAACAGGAATTTTGTGTCCAAGTACTCTACTTGTGTTCTTCACCAACACGACACCATTATTTTATTTTATTTTTTTCTTTTTCTTTAAAATATATTATACAATATTTTGTTTTTGGGGGGTTTTTTTGTTTTTTTTTTTTTTACAAATAGTTTATTGTCAAATTAGTTTCCACATAACACCCAGTGCTCATCCCCACAAGTGCCCTCCTCCATGCCCATCCCCCCTCCCCCCTCCATCCATCAGTTCTCAGTTTTTGTCAGCATTCAAGAGTCTCTCATGGTTTGCCTCTCTCCCTTTCCCCCACCATTTCCCCCCTTCTTCTCCCCCTTGTTCCTCAGTTAAGTTCCTCCTAATCCTCCTATACGTGCAAACATAGGATATTTGTCCTTCTCTGCCTGACTTACTTCGCTCAGCATAACACCCTCAAGGTCCATCCATGTGGCTACACATGGCCAGATTTCATTCTTTCTCATTGCCATGTAGTATTCCATGGTATAGATAAACCACAACTTCTTGATCCATTCGTCCGTTGATGGACACTTAGGCTCTTTCCATGTTTTGGCTATTGTTGAGAGTGCTGCTATGAACATTGGGGTACATGTGCTCCTATGCATCAGCACTCCTATATCCCTTGGGTAAATTCCTAGCAGTGCTATTGCTGGGTCATAGGGGAGTTCTATTGTTCATTTTTTGAGGAACCTCCACACTGTTTTCCAGAGGGGCTGTACCAGTTTACATTCCCACCAACAGTGTAGGAGGGTGCCCATTTCTCCACATCCTCGCCAGCATCTCGTGTTCTCTGATTTGCTCATTTTAGCCATTCTGACTGGTGTGAGGTGGTATCAGTGTCGTTTTGATTTGTATTTCCCTGATGAGGAGGGATGCTGAGCATTGTTTAATGTGTTTGTTGGCCATCTGGATGTCCTCTTTGGAGAAGTGTCTGTTCATATCTTCTGCCCATTTCTTCACTGGGTTGTTTGTTTTTCGGGTGTGGAGTTTGGTGAGTTCCTTATAGATTCTGGATATCAACCCTGTATCTGATATGTCATTTGCAACTATCTTTTCCCATTCCGTTGGTTGCCTATTAGTTTTGTGGGTTGTTTCCTTGGCTGTGCAGAAGCTTTTAATCTTGATGAGGTCCCAATCATTTATTTTTGCTCTTGATTCCTTTGCTTTGGGGGATGTGTCAAGTAAGAGGTTGCTGTGGTGGAGGTCAAGGAGACTGTTTCCTGCTTTCTCCTCTAGGGTTTTGATAGTTTCCTGTCTCACGTTCAGGTCCTTTATCCATTTTGAGTTTATTTTTGTGTATGGTGTGAGAAATTGATCTAGTTTCATTCTTCTCCATGTTGCTGTCCAGTTCTCCCAACACCATCTGTTAAAGAGGCTGTCTTTTTTCCATTGGATATTCTTTCCTGCTTTGTCAAATATCAGTTGGCTGTATACTTTTGGGTCCACTTCTGAGTTCTCTATTCTGTTCCATTGGTCTATGTGTCTGTTTTTGTGCCAATACCATACTGTCTTGATGATGACAGCTTTGTAGTGGAGGTTAAAGTCTGGGATGGTGATACCTCCCGTTTTGGTTTTATTTTTCAGTTATTACTTTGGCTATTTGGGGTCTTTTGTGGTTCCATACAAATTTTAGGATAGTTTTCTCTAACTTTGAGAAGTATGCTGGTGCAATTTTGATTGGAATTGCATTGAATGTGTAGATAGCTTTGGGTAGTAATGACATCTTAACTATATTTATTCTTCCTATCCATGAGCATGGGATGTTTTTCCATTTATTTGTGTCTTCTTCAATTTCTTTCATAAGTTTTCTGTAGTTTTCATCATACAGATCTTTTATATCCTTGGTTAGGTTTATTCCTAGGTATTTTATGGTTTTTTTGTGCAATCGTGAATGGGATCAGCTTCTTGATTTCTCTTTCTGTTGCTTCATTGTTGGTGTATAAAAATGCAACCTATTTCTGTACACGACACCATTATTTTAATGAAACAAACGTGTAACATCCTGAAACTTTGCTTTGGCAGTTTTCTGTGTAAAGAACGTGTGTGTGTTTTAAAACCCAAAGCATAGAAAGTATACCAGCCAGGTTAGAATGAAAAAATGCAAAGTTTAGATTACACAGTTAGTTCATCATCCATTTTCTGTTCCTGTTAAGTCTTAAGGGGAAAAAAAAGATAAATGTTTTCTTGCTATTTAAAATTCAAAACTAGCTTCTTAAAATGTGACTTTTTATCCTAACACCGACGCAATAATTTATGGCTTTAATATTTTTAATGATGACTTCACTGTACGTGTAAGCCGGGAGATGAAGGAACTGGGGCTGTCCATACATCTGTTACTTTCTTCCCTTCTAGATTCTCTTGCTTTGGTAATAAAATTCTAGGTGCCCTGTAGGAGTGTCTAAACCAGACAGTAGCTCCACTCTCTATACTGGCAAACTCAGGAAGAGTTTCTTTGTTTCATTTGTTCATTGTAAACAAAGGAAGTTTGTTTTGTTTACAGTATACATTCCTTAATAAAGGGAGGACCGTACAAAAAGATTTGTTAATCTAATAATTTTCTGGTATTTACTTTAGGCACTTTTGTGACGTCAGTAATTTATTTTGTTCTTGAAAGTACCTTGACTGCAATAGATCATTATAGTACATTCATATTTACATATGGAACCCCTCATCCAAAAATTCATCCATACGCTCGATCTAGGAAATTGGGCTTTCTGGGATATCATTTCTCTATTTTATTCGGCAATATGCCTGGCTACGAAGAGCTTTAAATGTGGCATCTGTCATTGCCTATCTCGGTCCAAATTATATGATGCTAAATACCACGAAGAATACTTCACAGGGGAAATCAGTAGTGGGTTATGAGAAGGGTAAACTTCATATCACCATGTGCTTGTATGTGAATATTAGAACTGTTAGCCAGATGCTTCCTGTAGACTTCCAGAGAGACAGAAAGTGTGGTGCCACTGGGATCCAGAGGCACTGATGGGAAGTATGCAGAAGATACATAAATCACAGAGCATATTCATTTCATTTGGCTTCATGGGATTCCACTGACATCACTGCGGGGAACCAAGGTCTGCGCCAGGACCCTCTCCCTTCTGCTCTCTGACGCCTTCGAGGTGCTGCCCGTGTAGACCAGGCCCTGCAGTAATTTCACACACTCCCCTAATAACGTCCACTGGGGCTGTCATGTATTTTCATGTGTTTGCCCTATTATCCCTCCCTGCTTGAGTCTTACAGATAATTGATGATGCTTCAGTTAATCATCTTTCTCCCGCTTTTGTTCACCAGGTACCTTCGCCTTGAAGGGGCTCTTTTATTGAGAATCGATGTCTTCTTCTGGGTAATTGATCACCGTAGACCCAGGGACACTTGACTCATCGTTGAGGAAGAGTAATCATCATGAATAATCAAAAAGCTGTAGCCACACTACTGGAAGAGTGCAAGCAAGTGCTGGACCGGCTCTTGTTGGAGGCGTCAGATGTGTCGGAGGAGGACAAGAGCGAGGACCAGCAGTGCAGAGGTGAGGTCCTGATGAGAGGCACTGGGGGGAGGGAGAAGGCAGCAGGTTTGCTCTCAACTGCCCTGCCTGAACGACATGTTTTCATCTCTGCCCTATTTTTCTTCTCTTGGCAGATGACCACCGAGAGATGAGTGGATTTCTAGGGCATGAATGGGACATGGGCTGCAGGCGGACGGGCAGGGGAGGAAGCCCACTTTGTTGCAGTGAATTGCTGTCAGTTCTAATTTTAGGCTTCAGTAAACATGAGGCTACGAGAAAACAGTTTAGTTCAAGAAGAACAAAGGGTGCAAGTAGGCTGGTGCACGTAAATTTCAATTATTAAAAAATTGAAGCAACTTCTGAATGGTGGCATATACTTTTTTTCAAACTAGGCTTTTGTGCCTCATCAGTTTCCATAGGCTTCTACGGTTTCCATAAATATGTCAACCCATTGGTCCAATCTCCCTCTCTCTCTCTCTCACTCTCTTTTTTGATTATTGATACAGTTCTCATGCTGCATTCACATGCCATTTGTAAAATAAATCCTTTTATACCAATGAATACTGATTGCATCATTATCAGGGTTTAAGAATTTGGCCTTTTGCTCATTTCATAGTTTATGCCATCCATAGTTTTAGATGAGTCATTGTTTGAGAAGTTTTGATCACAGAGTCTAGAAAGTTAGAGCATTTATTTCTTCCATAGCCAGTTTTGGAGAGGGAGTTTTCCTTCCCTTCAGCATTTGAATAAACTTTCCTGCATTTCTAGAAGTGTGTTTCCTTTATGTGCTTTTAATATTTTTTTTTTGTATTTTTGGTGATTGGCTATTCCTTGCAGAAATAAGGTTACATAAAACACACACTCCCATCTCTCTTGTTGTGGATAATTATGTAATGGGGAAGGTTCTGGAGGAGTCTCCCCCACATTCTTGTATATTGCACACACACTCAGACGCACTCTGAGGTACCTATAGGCGTCTTAAATTTTTGTAACCTGTTATTTGTGCCCCTTTCAAGGTAAAATGCCCCAGGCCCCATTGTTTCACAACACCTTAGTTTATGTGTTTTCCTTCTTTCCAATAGCCAGATACACCACTGCATGATTTTGCTTGCTAGTTATATGTGCCCATCAGCCTGAGCACACCATGATAGGTGTCAGCCCCTTTCAGGGAACGGCAAGGTACTTGGCGCCTCTAGAACACGCCGAACGGCTGGGTTTCATTTCCCCAGGGCCAGCGTATTGTGTTCTATCTACCTAAATTTTGCTCTTGTCCTTTGCTATGTGGCATCCTTTGTCTCTTTAGCCCAAATTCCTTTAAGCTTTGTGTTCTCCCTAGTGAAAACTCAGAGCTCCCAATTGGGTAGCCCCCAACTGGGTAGCATTTTCTTTTTTTTTTTTTTTTATTTCCAAGTGCCACAGAATAGGAGGAATAATCAGTTTAGTTTCGGATAAGGCAAATCAGGGCTACAAAATCATTCAATTAGCAATGGCCCTTCAGGTAAGCTGCTTGGGGAAGTAAGTGATCAGAGAGGCAGAAGACGGTACTGCTCCGTCAGGGGCTGACTGCTTGGCTTGGCTGACTCTGAGAAGCCAGTGGGGGAGGAGGTCTGTGCTGAGCCATTGACAATCTCAGCATTAACTGCACCCCACAGAGGCAGGCTTCGCGGTCCACTCTGAGCACCAGCAGTACAACTGGCGGTAGTCCGAGCACAGAGTTCCTCCCTGACAGGTGGCAGCTTCTGAGCCATACTAGTGACTGAAGTGGTCACTTGCATGTGCTCCAAGAGGAAGGCATTAGTACAGGGCCACTTATGGTGACAGGGCAAGCCAGAGGACTCAGACATGATGACTATGGTGTTTGCTCTTTCCTCCTCCTCCTTCTCCTCCTCCTCTCAGCCCTGTCCCCTTCCTTCAGAAATTGTCCTTGTCAGCATGGGTGACTACCTCTAGCAACTTCCTCAGAAATACAGAAGGAACTGAAATTTAAATGTGTGTGTGTGTGTGTGTATATATAATATGATTTACTGTCAAATATATATATATATGATTTACTGTCAAATTGGCTAACATATAGTGTGTGAAGTGTACCTTGGTTTTTGGGGTAGATTCCTGTGGTTCATTGCTTATACACAAGTGCCCTCCTCAATGCCCATCACCCATTTTTCCCTCTTCTCCACCATCCCATCCACCCAAGGTTTGTTCTCTGTATTTAAGAGTCTCTTATTGTTTGCCTCCCTCCCTCTCTCAAACAGAGATATATTTTTAAAATGTATTTCAGAGGAATCATTTATTTCAGAGTGCCGCACTGGACTCTCCATGTTCTGGCATGATCTGTAAGGAAGGGGTAGCATGGAAGAGGCAAATGAGTTGTACAGAACCAGATTTTCTCCATCATTTTGAAAAAAATTGAAAATATTGAAACCATGCAGTGCCAATATATGGTGAAATTCTTTGAATCCAGAAATCAGATTCCTGTTGTCATTTGACTATTCATTTGACTCTGGAGGTTGATACTCATGGATAGAATGTCCAAATTTATCAGTCAAACCGAGACATTGAGAGCAAGAAGGAGCACTATTAATAAGTACACCAGGACCACAGAGAATTTTCCTAAGTGAACAGGACTGAATGAATGAATAGTCATCCTATTCCCAACTATTTAGAAATATCATTTAAGAAACTTTCTTTACATACATACTGGAGCATTTCTGGCAGAGGGCCAAGCTTTCCAGCAGATTATGACCACGTAGGTCCCTAATGCCATAGCTCTGCTTTCTTTGGAGGAGTGCTATTGCATAGTCTGTGCTCCATAGTTCAGGGTTGCTGAATCAGGGAGCTGTGATTTCAGTGTGAAATTTATAAATAATCCTCAGTAGTCAGTACAGATTACTCACTGGAGGGGCCCATCTGAAATGCTCTCAATGCCAAGCAGTGTCTCCCCACCAGGAGTCATCCTTATGTTTGCCCGGTTGGCAAGGACACAGAAGGGCATCATGGACCAAGGCAGAGTTAGGTTTTCTTCCTTCTCTTCTTTTTGGCATGTCTCATATAGGTATAAGACTAATCCTTCTTTTAACTCTCAGGGTGTGAATTACAGCAGTGATAAGACATGATGCCTGTTTTCAGGGAGCTCACAGTCCAGTGAGAGGACAGTATGGTTTCAGAGCAGTGGCATGAACACTGAAAGGGCATGCATCGGAGGGCTTGGGAGCACTCATGAGGGACATCTCAATTCCATGGGATGGTCATAGCAGGGTGATGAGAAGTAGCCAAGTTTGCACTGAGTGCTGAAGCCAGGGGGCCTGAACTTGATCATGCAAGGATTGGGAGAGGGCAATGCAAAAGTGAGGACATGATATACAAAATCATTAAAGAATTGTATGCAGGGCAGTGGCCTGCCCGATCTTGTTCTTTTTTTTAGCAAAATGAGGATCAGCAGTGTGGAAATTGGAGTAGACAGGGCAAGATAGGGAGCAGGGTTTCAGGCAAGAATTACTGATAATGACAAGGAAGAAACAGATTTTTTTTAGAATCTACAGAATTCGATAACCAGTTAGATTCAAGAAGGAAGAGAGAGCAAAGGATCTAGACTGACTTTTAGGTTTCAGACTTGGTGACTCAGTGTATGGTGGTAGCATTCATCAAAATAAATCAACAGATTTACAAAAAAGACAGTGAGCTCAGTTATAGATATTTTTGAGTATGAAATGTCTGTAAGATAAGCACCTGGAGATTTACAGCTGGCAGTCATATGACCAGGTCCATAATCCCTTATAGAGACCACTGGGGGTTCACATGTGCTTCAGAATTCAGAATTTTTCAAAAGTTAGGAAGGTAGTGGGGGCCCATGCCATCTACTCCATTCACACTCCAGTGGAAGCTGGACAGCACCTATAGTCAAACATGAGTTTTACCACAAAACTTTTGGCTTCTCACTAAGTAAGATGAACAAGACTGTAAATACCCTCTAGTCAGCTCAAGTCTGGGTTGGGTGCAAAACGTAACTAGTTTCCAGAATTTTTGGGGGTTTTCCAGTTTGGATAAGATATTGTGGACATTTGTAACAAGGTCTGATACCCATGAAGAGATGGAATGTATCTACTAATGTAAAACAAGACCATCTCACAATAAATTGATACCATTTCAAACGTCATTTTTTTGTGGTCATTGTCAATATTCAAATGTAGTCCACAGTGAAAGTAGGAGGTGAGGCGAGGTCTTGGAGAAGGAAAGAGACTGTACAAATTGACTCTCTGCATTCCCCAGCTGCCACAGCCCCAGATGTCATTCCACCTCAGTCCCTTTCTCATTTTACAGGGAAAATAATATTTCCTTCATTCCTTTCTCTGATTCTTCATGCAGAGATAGTCACTGAAGTGCTTTACTTCCTGCTAAAAACCTTTCTTAATGCCTGACTACCCCAATTTACCTGAAGGGCAAAGCAGACCAAGGCCACCCCTGACAGATAGCTTTGCACTATTATTCTTTGAGTCAGAGCTACCAGCTCAGACCAGCCAGCAAGAGGTAGGAAAATTTTTTTTTTGCCACTGAGGTGCTTCATCATAACACTGGTAACTCAACAGCCTTTTCTTTGACTGCAATTTCCTTACCTGAACTCTGACCTTTTCAGCTTCACTCCCCAGCGAATTAAGGACCCTGATCCAGGAGGCAAAGGAAATGAAGTGGCCCTTCGTGCCTGAAAAGTGGCAGTACAAACAAGCCGTGGGCCCAGAGGACAAAACAAACCTGCAGGATGTGATTGGCGCCGGGTTGCAGCAGTTACTGGTAGGAAGAGCCACACCACCTGTTCCTCTAACACCCTGAAGTGAGGCATTTAGCCTCTAAGTGGTCTAATAGATTAAATTTCTTTGAAGCATAAGACAACCCCTACCCTTATGGTCAGCTCTGCCAGCTTGACTAATGTGGGGGAAATAGCTTTTAGAAAGCATTGCCTGTCTATAAGACCTTCTGTTGGAAGCCAAAGCAAGTAAAAGTGAAGAAGGGTGGTCGGTGGGTCTATCGAGAAAACGGTCATCCTGAAATATTTATTATATCCCTGGTAGTCCAGAAGCACTAGTTTTGATTCTGCCATGTCTCTTAGCATTTTTCTTTTGAAACGCTCCTTTTTAAAAATTGGGTAGCTTGAAAAAAATTCATTCACTGCTATTTCATCAGTATGACTTGCTGTCCACCATGTCCCTTCCCAAACCTGGGATCCTCCTCACTCCCTTGTCTCCTCACGATGCGGGCTGTTCAGGAAGTACCAAATCAAAGTCATTGACCTGCTTATTCCTCAACTCACTTCTTGGAAATTGGTCAAACTGCTATCTCTTCCTTGGATAGAAGAGGGCTTCAGGAATAGCACCTGAACTCAGATCTGAGCTCAGATTTCACCCTTAGGTTCTGGGGTTACTACACAGACTGCCATTGTTCTTTTTAGTAGCATTGTTTTTTACCTACAGTCTCTCAGATGATTGTCAAGGAAGAGAGCCTATTAGCTTATATGTATTTTTCTCATGTAAAAATATGCATTTGTCTGGAGACCAGGCATTATAAACAATGATAATATCCTAAAAATTTTTATTGCATCAGTTTGCATGAGAATGTTTTGGGGTAACCCCAAAGCAAATGTACAGGTATTGTGTTTGTCTACCAAGACAGAAATTTGGCAAAGATTCCCTGATCTATGTACACATAATGGCATTTTTGGAGACTTAATAGAAATAGCAAAACCCCCACTTTTCCCATGACCCCCCCCCAAAATATAAGCAAACAGACTGGGGTTAAGCAAACTGGAGACTGCAGGAAAAGGAAAGGGAATATTTGGAAAGAATGCAGTGGTGAACCAGGGATTTTAAATGACCAGGCTTGGTATATGTGGAAAAGTGGAATGGAATAATAACTGTGATCTGTCTATCACTGCAGATTTTACAAAGTGCTTACACATACATCACCTCATTTACTTCTCAAATAGCCCTCCTGTGATTATTACCATTATCATCCCCATTTTACAGATGAGGAAATTAAGGTGCAGGAAGATTAATGTGCCCAGGGGGGCAGACCCATGAGTGGTAGATCTACCCCTTCCTCCATCTCGCCACCAGTTCTCCTTCAGAAAGCCCAATGTGAAGAAATTGAAAGCACAGGTAGAATCCCTGAGACCTGTTGACTCTATAGCAAGATGTAGGCTGTCCAGTAGAACTTCCTGCAGCGAAGGAAACATTCCATATCTCTGCTGCCCAGTGCATTAGGCCCTGACCACTTATGGCTCTCCAGCACTTAGAATATGGCAAGTATGAGAACTGAATTTTTTCGTATTATTTAATTTTTAAAAATCAATTTCTATATAAATAGCCACATATGGCTAGGCCTACTGTTTTATTGAACAGGGCATCTCTTCAGAAGTGATGCTTAAAATGAGACCTCACAGCAATAGCACGAGATCACCTAGAAACTTGTAGGATATTCAGATTTTGGCCCTACCCTAGACTTAGCAAATCAAAAACTCTGGGTCTAGCAATAAGCATTAGACGAGCCCTCCAGAAGATTCTCATGCATATGCTAGAGTTTGAGAACCACCGTTCTAAAGACAAGTGGAGGAAAGTCAGAGAGTCTGACCAGGGATGTGAGGGGAGAAGGAACAAGGTAAGGGGTGAAGGAGACTCCAATGCGAAGTTTGCAGGAGACCACCCATAAAAGTAACCTCCTTCCCATTAGTTCCAAGAACTTGTTTAGACTCGGGCCAGTTCCTGAAAACCTCCTTCACCTGCTTGGAAAGCCGTTGTGTGATTTGGCCACTGGTGGCATAGAACGTTCAAGGCTTTTAAGGAAGGTGAGAACAGGACCTCTCCTTTGATCTTTGGGGCTTAGAAAGTTCCTCTGAATTTCAAACACAGGCTGAGAGAGGGAGACTTACCACACCAGGTAAGTCTGGTGATGATAACCAGGGTTTTACTCCTCTCTGTCCATCCCACACTCACCAGATCCCCTTTGCTGCATGCCACGCTGGTCGTGCCTCTAGATGAAAAACTCAAAATGATATTTTTAAAACTTGGTCTGACTGCATTTGGGGTTTAATATGAGTTGGGAGAGAGGCTGCTCCTAGTTGTTAGACGGTATTTATTCCTTCTACTTTCCCTCTACATACTGCATGGATGTCACAGTTGGGAAAATAGAGAGAATTTAAGATGTTTGTGTCCAGCTCACAAGATCACTAATGGCAGCTCTAAGAATCAGTCCATTAGGCTTCTTTAGCCCCTGATGTATTTAACCTGGGAGCTTTTTGAACTCTTAGCACCATTTTCTTTAGCTTCCCCAGCAAGCTATAAATTAAGCAACCACACCTCCCAAAGACTCTTAGGATGCTTTCCTATTGTGTCAGACCCCAAGTGCACAATTACTAAACCACTCTGTTTTGTAAATACAGAGAACTATAGCACTCTGTGAACTCACACTACTTTTGGTGTCTTAGCTTGCCAAAAGTATCCCGAGTGAATTCCATGATTTGTTTCTGTCCCATTATCCGTTGGTTTCAATATCATCCTTTACTGAAGCTGGCTGGCCATGTTTTAATAATCAATCAATTATGAGATTCTATACTTTACATAAAAAATTGGTTAAAGGCTTCCGAGTTTGTCTCTTCAGCCAAGTTATCTCTTCTTACAGTTTTTTCCACAAATCTAAACCTGCCATGATGTTCTTTGCCTCAAAATGAATCCTTCCATAAAAAGTTTCCCCTCCATTTTTAAAATTAGCATTACACTTAGAATGTAAACACTGTCGAGTTTAATTACATTTAAGTTAATTCCACAAATAACATACAAAGTTAAGCACAAAATTATACTGAGTGCCTGAGTTAGTGAAATTAAGGGTCATTTATAAGGTTATTCTCTTAGGCTAAACTGAATCAGGAAAAATTATATGTGTTTTATGCTTTGCTTTCTGTTCTCCGTGGCCTCCCCCATTTCTTCCCTCCCCACAGTCCCCTCTCCCCTTCCCCACCCCCAACCTTTTCTCCTTTGGTGTGTGGCCACAGACAGAAATTTATGGCAGGGGCCAACCCCCTTTACACTCCACACAAAGCTCGCTGACTTGAGAGAGTTTGTTCGCTCTCTCCCAGAAAAAACACCTGCAGCACGCTCCCCAAGAAACCTGGAGAGATGGGAGATTAATGTGGCTGTAATAGCTGGGCAGTGTTTTTGGTATTATGCCCTCTCCCCAGGTAGATGGGTCTTTTCCGAGATGATACCAATTATTTATTGCTGAAACATCTGTTGATAACTGCAGCTGCCCTTGTGAAACAAAGCCTATGGTGGGGTCACAGGCTATAGGGACCTAAAATCCTACCTCATGCTAGTTTTAGACTATTCAATAACACCCTCAAGTCCATGGGTTACCATCATCTTTAATGTCTCATCATGCCATAGAAAATACTTTGTAAACACTGCACTGCCCTACAGGCTTTGAAGTATTATTTCATCTCCATTGGTAATTTATATTCCAGTGCCATTGTGCTGTGGGAAAAAAGAGGGGGAACCTTTTTTGTTTTCCATTTAATTGTATATCGCCTGACACTTTGACCTGTATTATTAGTATTAGTCAGAAAAAGGATTTTCTCCCTCTCTTATTTAAAAATAAAATTTCAAGGGAAAGTAAGCGCTCCTTCAGCTCTTTTCACTCAAAACAATGTTTACACTCTAAGAGGAAAAGATGAAAAGCACAAGCAATTTTTTTCAAGTGTCGGAGAAGGGCATTTCAGTTTTTGAAAGAGAACAGTAAGGCCCTTATAAATATCATTCAGCAAAACCTTTGATGGATTTTTTTCATGAAAAGTATTGAAGGCATTTACCGTTAGCTTCTGTTTAGCTTGGTTTGAGACAGGCACAGTAGAGTTCTTACTAGTAAAATTCTCCTTGCTTCTGAGATGCCAGGGAATGAAGGCATCAGTCTCCGTATAGATGCCACCTTTTGTAACTTTTCCAGTGACTTTTACACTTCTAAAAAGGATGCTTCCTGCACAATTAAAGAGAATATGAAGATAAACTTTTAAAAAGAGAATAAAGGACATGTTTGGATTCGCATGTCTGTCGCAGTTGAGAGCAGGCTGGGTTGCCAGGCTAAGAAAAATTGTTGAACGGGCCCTGGTTTTAAACATTCCTGCAGATTTGGGCATCTTGATCTTGGAGAGGAACCGGCCTCTCCTCAGCCCTGTTTATGTGGAGGGAAGGAATCTAAGTTTTGTGTGGTATCTCTGCAAAGAGACGCAGGGTAATTTTTAGAGGCTGGCTAACATAAGGTGCAAGGAGATGAGTCAGTCTCAACATGAGAATTTTTTTTTCCATTTTCTCTTCAACTGTATAACCATGAAAATGGAAAGTATGATAACCTTTATTCCACAAATGTTTTTGGAAATCTCTGTGCTACCTTGCAGTAATTTGAAGAGAGACTAAATAAATAAGTAGTTGTTTTCTTACGTGATCTTGGGTGAAAAAGCTTTGTGAATGAACAAAGTTTGATAAATTTAGCTTCCAGAATATTTTTCTAATATATCTCTTCAGATAATCTTGTTGCCTTTAACTCGTTGATATTTTTGTTTTTAAACTACTTAAAGTAACAAGAGGTCAAAAATTAAAACATAAATAGAAGCGTCTCGGTGGTTCAGTCGGTTGAGCATCTGACTTCAGTTCAGGTCATGATCTCACAGTTCATGAGTTCTAGCCCCGCATCAGGTAAGCTGCTGTCAGCACAGAGCCCACTTTGGATCTTGTCACCCTCTCTCTCTGCAA